GCGACAGAGAGCTAAAAATGATGCGTGATCCTTTCGTTCTCACGACCAGGACGAATCGTTGTCCTCCTCAATCTGAGGTTCGACAATGACCTGACTCCTTCGAGTACTTAAAGTAAACTTCCCGGGGGAAGGCTGAGTGGTGTGATGCCTCTGTAATTGGCACACACCCTCTGATCCCCCTTTTTGAAAAGGGAACCACCACCCGGTCTGCCACTCCTTCGGTACTGTTTCCGCATTCCACGCAAAACGTTGATGAGACTTGTCCAACCATGACAGTCCGTCAACACGCCAGAGCCTTTCACCATCAGGAGAATCCGGATATCATATCACACCCGGGGCTTGAGTCACTGTCGGATTTGTTTGACGACCTCAGTACACTCCATCGGGTGATTGGTGTTGATCCCCGTCATACTCCAGCTATGCCTCATCGAGTCCTCAAAGGCGGTCTTCCATACGCCTTAGCATCTCCTCAGTTGAGCAAACCTATCTACTTGGACACCTCGTGCTCCGCTTGAGTTCGAAGCTTCCACAGATCTCTCTTCTATGAGTCGTAGTCTCTTCAGCTCGGCGAATCGCATCATGCGCTGATTCGCCTCGGCCACGGCTGAGGCCGGCGCCCATATCGGAGCTCTGTCGCAGAATGATGAGACACTGCTTAGGAGTCCCCCGGGATAACAAATCCCTGAAGGCCTCCTTCTTCAGTCGGACGGCTTCCCTGACCACCGGTGTCCACCAGGAGGTTCGAGGGTTACCGCCCCTTGAGGCACCTAGGACCTTGAGACCACAGCTCCCCGCCGCGGCTTCGGCAATAGAGGCTTTGAACACCGACCACTCTGGTTCAATGTCCCCAACCTCCACAGGAATGCCCGAAAAGCTCCGCCGGAGGTGTGAGTTGAAGGCCTCCTGAACTTGGGCCTCCTCCAGACGTTCCCAGTTCACCCGAACTACACGTTTGGGCTTACCAGGTCTATCCAGAGGCTTCCCCCGCCACTCGACCCAACTCACCACCAGATGGTGATCAGTTGACAACTCCGCCCCTCTCTTTACCCGAGTGTCCAAAACATACGGCCTCAGGTCCGATGATACGATAACGAAATCGATCATGGACCTTCTGCCTAGGGTGCTCTGGTACCACTTACACTTATGAGCATCCCTATGTTCGAACATGGTGTTTGTTATGGCCAATCCATGACTAGCACAGAAGTCCAGTAACAAACCACCACTCCGGTTCAGATCAGGGGGGCCGTTCCTCCCAATCATGCCCCTCCAAGTGTCTCCATCATTGCCCACATGTGCGTTGAAGTCTCCCAGCAAGATTAAAGAGTCCCCTTCAGGAGCCCCATACAGGACTCTTTCCAGGGTCTCCAAGAAGGCTGTATACTCTGAACTGCTGTTTGTTGCATAAGCACACACAACAGTCAGAGTTTTCCCCCCCATAACCCGCAGGCGTAGGGAGGCCACCCTCTCGTCCACTGGGGTAAACCCCAACAACGAAGCACCCAACCGGGGACTTGTGAGTATCCCCACACCCGCCCGGCGCCTCACACCTTGAGCAACTCCGGAGAAGAATAGAGTCCAACACCTATCCAGAAGTAAGGTTCCAGAGCCGACGCTGTGCGTAGAGGAGAGCCCAACCAGATCCAACTGGTAACGCTCCACCTCCCACACAAGCTCCGGCTCCTTCCCCTCCAGAGAGGTGACGTTCCACGTCCCCAAAGCCAGCTTCTGTCGCACGGGTCTGGTCCGTCGAGACCCTCTGCTTTCGCTGCCTTTCTGGCAGCGCACACGACCCCATCGCTGTTTCCCGTAGGTGGTGGGCCCGCGGGACAGAGAAGCGGAGGTGTTGCCCACGTTGCCTTTTCGGGCAGTGCCCGGCCGGGCTCCGTGGCAAGCCCGGCCACCAGACGCTCGCCGTCGAGTCCTGCTTCTGGGCCTGGCTCCAAAAGGGGACCCCGGGCTTCCCCCGGGCCGGGTATCCTCACTTCTTGTGTCTCTTTCATGAGGTCTTTTGAACAACCTGATCTGGCCCCTTGCCTGAGACCAATTTGCCATGGGAGACCCTACCAGGAACACAAGGTTCCAGACAACACAGCCCCCAGGTTCATCAGGGCACACAAACCTCTCTACCACGGTAAGGTGCTGGTTCTTCAGAGAGGAACATAGAACTCTTTCACCAGAAAGTGGCTCAAAGAAAATGTATCTATGCACCCATAGAAATAGTCAGTAGTTACTACTACGACTACTCAAATTATATTTGATAACAACCATGATTAGATTCAGCCCTATAGTTATTACATATTACGTGTCCAAATCACAAGTTTGATTACAGTACAATATTATTTTTAAGTCTTTGTATAATAATTAATTCAATTTCTTGATATAACATCAAGTGTTTGGTTAAAACAATTCATATCTCCAATGCACTTTAATGCACATTTTCTTCTGTTTGTATTCTGGTCTTTGTTAGGATGTTAAATGGGTCATGATTCCCTTCAAAATATAGATTTATATTGCTGTGAAAATGTCTCCTACGAACAACTACGTTTTTTAACTACAACAACTACATTTTACAAGATTACATTTAAAGTTTACACATCCTAATAACGTTGTAATTCACCTTGGCCAAAGCAATTTTTTTTTATTAAATACAGCTTTAAGGCAGCTTAATGGAGCCTCCCTCTTTTAACTGTAACTATTAGCTTTGTTTTAGCCAAGCAGAACTCTCCACTGGATGCTAAAAGCTAATGCTAACTAGCTCGCCTCCTTCCAATTTCAAGTCGGATTTGAATTTCAAAATATTGCGTGCAGGCAACCAATTGGTTACGTCATCTGGGTGCATTGATAGTGAGTTAACAGTAAACTATGAATGTGTCAATGGAACAAAGGGAGGATCTCCTGGTACATCTGGTACTAGAAAAAACAAGTACGTTCACGGTTTCAGAATGTTGGCATCGAAATAATCTGTTATCCAGACTTCACAAATATGTATCCAAATTGGTAGATCAATACAAATTTACTTAAAAACTACATTATAAATACCCAAATGCATGAACAGTACATTTTTTGACACTATCTACCTTAGAAAAACAGACCTATTTGAAATGTGCCTATTAAACACTCTTGGTAAAGTATCCACATTTAAAAATCATCATAGCTCTTTTATATTTGGTATTCTTAACAAACATTAGTTAGTTAGAACTTTTTTCATTGTTGCTTGAAGACCAATTTGCCAGGGCCCACTGCCATGCTCGACCCCTGGGTGTCCACTCAGGAAGCCCTGGTGGTAGATCCGGTTGGGTCACCATTCCTCCTTTATTCCCTGTGTGTGTGAGAGCATGCCTGTGATTGCGTGTGTCTATGTCTTGGCCATCTGTGCAGCGTGTGTGTGTACGTGTGTTAGAGATTGCATGCATGTAGTGTGTATTCCTTCAATGGGAGGTTTGTGTGGTCGACATTAAATGATTCAGTGTATCTTCTCCTAAAAGGCAGAACAAGCAAACAAACAGCGCTGCAGTAGGAAGCTCGTCGGCTGTTTAACAGCTGCTGTTCTGAGGTTCACTGCAGTTCAGCTGCCTGATAATGACTCAGACAGAGCAAAGAACACTGTACTGTACAGTCTGCCTCTGGTTTCACCTGGTATACTCCACCCTGCCTTTCATGTTCATTAAACAGGACACACACTCCTCTCTCTGTGCACAAAGGTGGGAAGCAACTGCAACAATTGTGAAGGAGCTGGGAAAGAAGCTTAAGGGAGGATATGTGTTATGCCTTTATTGGATAATAGAAAGCAGAGACAGACACAGATTTATCTAAAAAAAATGGAGCACAAAATATTTCAAAGGAAAAGAGAAGATATTCATATTCTGCATTTGTTGTATTGCTTGGAGCGATGGCTGCAACTATTCATATATATTACTGAATTTACTATTCTCATAGAGCTGCCCAAATATCAAAATGTTATTGAAAACGCAATACGGACTAGTGCAATATTAAAATTGCATGAAGCATATATGTTAAAGGGGCTCTATTAAGTTTTTTCAGGTTCTTATGTATACTCTGTGCCTCTACTGTGACATGTCTCCATGCTTTAATGGACAAACAGCTCTTTATTTTTCTCATACTGTCTGTGCTGCAGCACCTATTTTCACCCTCTGTCTGAAACCAGAGCCCAGTCTGCTCTGATTGGTTAGCTGGCCTGCTCTGTTGTGATTGGTCAATCGCTTAGAGATGTACCTCCCCTGAGACTATAAAGTACAATGTGTTGGAGCGCTAGCCAATAGAACTAAACAAAATGTATTATCTTGTAAAGATATATTTTTCAATGATACAAGAATAGTGATGTACAAATTATTAATCCCTAGCATATCGTAATGGCAATGTTAGTCAAAAAGAATTGCAATTTGTTGATTTTTCTAATTTGTGCAGTCCTATATTCGACCATTTTTCAATTTCAATTAAATTGCACTTAATATTAGTATGGGCCAAAAATAAAACCATTAAACTAAATAGGTTTATTTGCATCAATGATTTTGTTGGTAATCTAGGTTTTTCTAGGCAGGGTTTCAGCCCTTCTTGGGGCTCTTATTGCCCCCCTGCTTGAATTTGGTCTCTTTATTCCCTTCACCACTTATTCTCATGTGTGTCCGGTCTTTCTTCAATTTACAAAAGATTAAGGTTAGCCCTTGGTTCTCCAATGTATGGGAAACAGTTTACATTTCAAATGCTGTTGTTTAAATCCTAATACTGTACTCTTATGTAAGAGAGGCCACACACACTAACACACACACTCATGCAACGACTAACGATAAATAACGATAAATCGGTCAGTAGGGGATTTTGTGTGTGAATGTACTGGGATCTGTTAGGTTCCAGTAATTTCACTGTGTCTCTTGTTTCATTCAGAAGCCAATGCTATGCACAGGTTTTGTACGCATTCTTATGTCACAGCTCATGATTCTATGATGCTAATCTAGCCAAGCACCACCAAGGGAAACAGCTACATAAGACTGTCTCTCGAGCACAGCGGGCCATTTGGCAAAGTTTTAATTTTAGATCTTCAATCGTTGGTTTTCAGCACTTTTGTGTGTCTTTTATTGTCTTATTTTCTATACTACTTCCTTAAACTGAAGAAGAAATAAAACAAACAAGATCTGTTGTGATTGACCAATCACAACAGAGCCGGCCAGCTAACCAATCAGAGCAGACCATGTACATGTAAAAGAAACCTATACAACACACTACATGAAAGGGAAAGCCCATAAAAGATTTTGAATAACAAAACTAATAAAATAATAGAGCACTTAAGAAGTTTAGCCCATTTCAAACTAATGCATCAGCACTTACTGTAACATGGTTTGGCTTATTTAGAGTGAATATATCTGCACTTTTCTTGTATTTCTGAGTTTGTATCTTTATGGTTTATATCACATATTTTAAGTTGCTTTTGGTAAAACGTAAGCTAAATGCAATGAAATGTATTATAATCATGAAATGTATGCAATTTAAACTCCATGTT